TGCAAAAACAAGTTAGACATCCTCTACTTTGTTGTTGCAAGTTTTACATGGCTGCTACGAGCTTCTAGCAAGAACCATTCTTACCTACGCATCAAAACCACAATGATTTTTCGTCAAGTGTACTGTTTTAACCTTCAACAAGGACCGGGCGTAGTCAAACTCGATTCAACTAAAGTTGGAGAAATAGACATCCGCTAGCCACCTGTGTGCGAAGCACGAACCAGTCTCATGAACGCGGTCATATAATGTCGGTCCGGGCCGCTTCATCCAGCAATACCGCCGAATCAAAGTAAGACATTGCTGGTAAGCAGTATGACTATTATCGCCCACAACTCTTTGTGTTCTACTCGTGCATATAACATCTACGCATAGACCCGAGTCTGATACCACTGTTGGGAAACGCAGTAATTTCAAAAAAAATCCTACGATCACGCAAGATCTATCTAGGAGATGCATATCAACGAGAGGGGAGAGTGTGTCCACGTACCCTCATGGACCGAAAGCAGAAGCGTTTAGTAATGCGGTTGATGTAGTCGAACTTCTTTGCGATCCAACCACTCCAAGTACCGAACATACGGCACCTCCGCGTTCAACACACATTCACCTCGATGAATTCCCTCGTGCTCTTGATCCAGTTGAGGACGAGGGTGAGTTCCGTCAGCACGACGGCGTAGCGATGATGATGATGATGTTACCGGCGCAGGGCTTCGCCTAAGCACTACGGTGATATGATCATGTAACTGTGGAAGGGGGAAGCACACACATTTAAGAGAAACTTGTGTGTTCTAGGGTGCCCCCCTGCCTCCGTATATAAAGGAGGGAGGGGGAGGCCGGCCAGCCCTAGGGGCGCGCCCAAGGAGAGGGAGACCTACTAGGACTACTAGTCCTAGTAGGATTCCTCCACAAGGAAGAGAGGAAGAAGGAAGGAGAGAGAGAGGGAGTAGGAAAGGGGGCGCCCCCCCCCTTCCCTTGTCCAATTCAGACTGCTAGGGGGGGAGGGGCGGCCTGCCCTGGAGGCCCTCCTCTCTTTCCAATAAGGCCCATGGTGGCCCATTAGTTTCCCCCGGGGTTTCCGGTAACCCCTCCGGCACTCCGTTTTTACCCGAAACTACCCTGAACACTTTCGGTATCCGAATACATGGTCCAATATATCAATCTTTATGTCTCGACCATTTCGAGACTCCTCATCACGTCCGTAATCTCATCCGGGACTCCGAACAAACTTTGGTCATCAAAACACATAACTCATAATACAACTCGTCATCGAACGTTAAGCGTGCGGACCCTACGGGTTCGAGAACTATGTAGACATGACCGATACACATCTCTGCTCAGTAACCAATAGCGGAACCTGGATGCTCATATTGGCTCCTACATATTCCATGAAGATCTTTATTGGTCAAACCGCATAACAATATACGTTGTTTCCTTTGTCATCGGTATGTTACTTGCCCGAGATTCGATCGTCGGTATCATCATACCTAGTTTAATCTCGTTACCGGCAAACCTCTTACTCGTTCCGTAATAGTTCATCCCGTAAGTAACTCATTAGTCACATTGCTTGCAAGGCTTATAATGATGAGCATTACCGAGAGGGCCCAGAGATACCTCTCCGAATCACGGAGTGACAAATCCTAATCTCAATCTATGCCAACCCAATAAATACCTTCGGAGACACCTGTAGAGCATCTTTATAATCACTCATTTACATTGTGACGTTTGATAACACACAAAGTGTTCCTCTGGTATTCGGAGGTTGCATAATCTCATAGTCTTAGAACATGTATAAGTCATGAAGAAAGCAGTAGCAATGAAACTGTAACGATCATAATGCTAAGCTAACGAATGGGTCTTGTCCATTGTAAATGACAACACATGTCTATTGTTAGGAAACATAACCATCTTTGATAAACGAGCTAGTCAAGTAGAGGCATACTAGAGACACTTATATTTTGTTTATGTATTCACACATGTACTAAGTTTTTGATTAATACAATTATAGCATAAATAATAAAATTTATCATGAAATAAGGAAATAAATAATAACTTTATTATTGCCTTTAGGGCATATTTCCTTCAGAGGTTGCAGCGAAGCATGGGAGGTCGGGAATGGCTCAACGGAGGCGACCAATGCCCAATCGCTGCGGTAAGTCTCGAAGATGGCACCAAATGGCGGCGACGAAAGGGAGTGCACGATCTGAAACTTCCATGACTCCAATATCCCAACTGTCAAGTATGAAGACTTGTGGGCTCGATTTAGAGCGGACTTCAAAGATATGTCGATCGAGCATGCAATGACGATTCTGGTAGAGTTATTTTTCGATCAAAGTTGTGATAATAATTGTGACCATCGATTGTACTAGTCGAAATACTCAATCCCCCTGAGGGCCTGCTTGGATCCAAGGGACTATTTTTAGTCTGACTAAAAATAGTCTCTTTTAGAGGCTAAAGTTCCAAGCACCCCTGACTAAAAAGAGGCTAGAACTAGTCTTGAGGCTAAAACTTTTTAGTCACACGAAACCTACTAAAATATGTATTAGCCCTCTCTCTCCTCATTTAATTCATCTCCTTTAGCACATGCGAGTTCTGGATTGGATGGTTTGGAGGATAATAAATGCTCAATAACTTCATTTTAGTCTTTTTAGTATTTGAATCCAAGCATGGGTGAGGCTAGCAAGTTTTAGTCCCACTACTTTTAGTCATGGGACTAAAATGTATCCAAGCACCCTCTCAGTCTATCTCGCAACCACCGACAACGCACGAGAATTGAGATCCACCATGAACCATCCACCGTCGTCTCCCTTCGCTTCACGAGGCGGACGACGAGCCACGCGGCCCACGCCGCTGCTCCCCGAAAAAGGCCTGCAATAAAAACCGGACGAGACACGCGCAGAGTCGCCTACGCCGCTACGCTCGCCTACCCCGCGCGCCTCCGCAGCTCCGCGTTCGGACGCCCACCCGTGCCGCTGGAGCGCCGGGCCCGGGGTCCTAGCGGCCCGCGCGTCGGCGAGGCGAGCTGGGGTTGCGAGGCCGGGAACGCGGCCACGCAGCGGGGCTCGCGACCGGTGGATACCTGCGGCCAACGCCTGGCGTGGCGCGCCGAGACGTGGAGGGCCAGCGGCTGTGCGATCGGGCTGGTAGTGGGCGGGGTGGACGGCTGGGGTTGGAGCCCGAACCCCGACGCCTGGACAGAGTCCCTCTCGGCCTCAAAACGGCAAGCTGGACGTGGACAGGGGAAAAGTGCTCTACTTTTGCATAAAGGTCTAACTTTTTTTGAGAAATGATGAACGGCACCTTAGAAGTTCTTTAGTATGTTTACATGAAGATCCATCGGTCACTGTTGGAGCTGGCATTATTTGGCTTGGCAATGATGGATCGTGGATCATACAATAAATATAATTATTATAATGGATTATGCACTATACTTGGGAAAAAAAATCATTGCACATGTGCAATCACGATCGTGATACCGTGATACCTTGTCTGAAACAAATGATCCAGTGCAAGTTTTGGTGCGGGACATTTTGAATTGTTGGGCTAGCTTGAAATTTGGTATTCTTATTTTCCGGTGTTTTTAGAGGATTTGGAATATTTTTTTCACACTTAATGTTTGTATCTATGCTCGTAAATCAATGCCAATGAAGCTTAATTTGGCTATAACATCAAAGTCACTATGTTGTCTAATTCTCATCTTTTTCATTCAACACACATGGCATTTCTAGTAGTTTCTTACTCCTCGCCTTTTGTCTTGTGTTTAAACAAGCAAGCATGCATTCACTAGTCACAATATAAAAGAAAACTCTAATTAAGCTTAAGCAAGGGCCATTTCCTTAGAAATCATTTTTCTTGAACTAAAAGACTACCAATTGTTGTGATAACTATCTACTCCCTCCATTCGGATTTATTAGCCCCCTCTTATTTTTGGTTGTTTGACCTAAAATTTTAATTAATAAAATATAAACTATATGCTAGAAAAATTATACTGTCAGAAAGCTCTTTCAAATACAAATCCAACAGTGTACTATTTTTTGTAGCATATACTTTATGTTTTTATATTAGTTATATAGAT